CAACAACAACTTTGAAGGACTGCCCAATAATCATCGAGCTTCTTATACATTCGTTGTGCAATTTTATTCATTATTTGGATTTCACTATTTAGTGTGTCATGTAATTTATTTAAAATAGTTGGAAATATCATGTGCAAATCCCCCATTGCTGGACGTGCTGACGAAGACAAGACTGTTGTTGCTTTAGCCATAGGCTCAAGCAATGTAACGATTACCTAAAATAATAATAATAAATTTTTTTTTTTAAAAAAAAAAAAAAAAAAAAATTTAAATACTAACCTCAATTTCATTCCATTCAGCTTCATTCAGATACCGATCTTTTAATGTTGGGTTATCTTCTACAAGTTCGTTAGTCATTTCACGAATTCGAAGCATCTTTTCTATCATAATATATGTACTATTCCATCTTGTAGGTATATCTAAATCGGGCACAAGAAAAGGTCTTCCATTTGATTGAAAAATTTTTTAAAGTTCTTCAAACAAAGGTTGAGATTTATGTATATAACTAGCAAAGTTTCGTAACATTGTTATTGAATTAACATGATTTTCATGCCTTCAGATACTGCGAGATTCAACATGTGAGCTGCACAGCGAACATGTTCGAAGCCTTGATTACCATATTTATATCGAAGTTTTTCACGAAATGTACGTCCAAATACATCCATATTTGATGCATTATCAGTGGTTGCAGAAATAATACGAGAGCCGATATTGTAATATGAAATTGTTTCGAAAATTTTTTCAGATATATAATTTCCAGTATGTCGTTCGTGAAGTGGCACTATATCTAATAAAATTCGTTTCATGGTCCATTCTTCGTCAATCTAGTGAAGTGTAATGGCGAGAAAACCAAGATTAGTACATGAGGTCCAGGCATCCGTAGTAATTGAAAACTTATGTTGACTTTTATTGAAAAGATCACGAAGTTCATTTTGTTTCTCATAAAATAATTTTAAAACATTTTGCGCAACAAATTGTCTTGATGGAAGGCAATAGCGTGTAGTTAAATCACTAATAAATAGTTGAAAATCTTTATCTTCAACTATAGAGAATGCTTGCTGATCCGTAATTATCCATTTAATAAGATGTAGATTTATTTGAATTATTTTATCTTCACTATAGGGCTCAATGTTAGTCTTGCTGATAATTGTCATTAACTCGTCCCATTTATCTGAATGATGGTTTTTAAAATGTTTTTTAATCGTTGAAAGGCCTGTTTCTATCGAATAAACTTGATCACAGTGCCTGCAGTGTCGTTTATTATCTGTTTCGATAAGTTCGTTCCAGAATGGATCAGTTTTAAATCGTTTTGGGGGTCAATTTGTTACCTCGGAAAGTATTTCTAGTTCTAAGAGATTTTGAGAATTTATCGAGTTTGATATAATAGTTTCGTTAACGTGTTCAGGTGAATTTTCTTCGTACATTATATGAAATTAATGATTAAATAAAAGCTAAATAAAACTCGAATAAAAAGCTAGTATTTATACATTTGAGAATATTTCTTATAAACATTGATGTAATTTAAAAAAGACTTTTTTTAACTTTTAATTAAAAAAAAGACTATTTTTTTCACTTTTAATTAAAAAAAAACATCAGACGTCATATTTACTGTATTAAACATTTTTTGATTTAAAAAATTTTTTTATTTAAAAGTTTATTGAAGCTTTTTGCTCGTAAGATTGATTTCGAACTCAGTTCGAGCACGATGTGTTTGATTTTACATAATTAAAATTCACGTGATCAAAAAACTCGAGTTTAACTGAGGGGCGAACTGAGTTCAAATGAGCAGGATAACATCCCTAATAGGAATGTTAACCGACCCACAAAAATGTTAATTTATCAGTTATTACAAAACTTGTACGTACGTACAACCCAGGATATTATTAAAGGAAACTTTTATTTGAGTTAATTTAAACTTTATCCTTTATTAATTTTAAGTAATAAATTTTTTATATTAAATTAAATAACTGAAGACATAGTAGATAACAGATAATACTAAAGAATATTAATTTAAGTTAAATCGATGTATTATAATAAAGTATGATTAACAAAAAATTTTTGTTAATCATACTTTAATAAAATATTATATATTTTTGTCAAAAATATATAATATTTTATTTACAAATTTAAATTATTTATTAAAAGCTAAAAAGTGAATCTTTTTATATTCAATCTTAAATTTTAAGATTTAAATATCTATTTACAATATTTTAAGTTATTGTTCTGGTTACTTTTTATATTAATATTTATATCATACGTAGTGTTTGACATTACCAATAATTACACCATGATCCATAAGTTCATTTGGCCTTTGAAATGACTCATGATTGCTATTTCAGACCACTTAGCATCTCTGGGAAGAGGAGTTTAATAAATCGATAAACTTTTTGTACGAAAATTTTAGAGAAGCTATATCTGGAAGAAATAAAAAATTGGGGTATTATATAAGAGCATAACCTTAATTGTTCATGACAAAGATGAATAGTTAAATTGATTTAAAAAAAAAAAAAAACTCATGCTAGAGCCGTTTTGAAATTATTTCTTTATTTTTGGATATTTGTGGGGGATTAAGCAAACATTAAATTTAAACGAGGTTTAAATAATCCAAAATTATGTTTAAGTTAGCCAAAATCTGGAACGAGAGTGAAAACCAACAGATTTGTCTAGCTCTGAGATTTACCATCTGCCTCAAATTTTTTTTAGATCATACTAATTTAAGGGGGATAACGTTAATATATTAAATCAGTCATTAAATCTGGTTCGTGATGATAGAAGCGTGATTCGAGCAGAAGGCCTTTTCAATTTTTATAACTGGTAACGATAATAAAAATGCTACGTATTCAATATTCATTCATGTTTGGTTAACAAACACATAACGATAATATTATTACGTATAATTCTGCATTATTATATACGTATGCCTAAACTTGTTTGAAATATTCCTTATTTGAACAATTCAGTTTGTATCATAATGTACTCAACTTGTCCTAATTTAAGCTAGTAAAAGATTTCAAAATTTCACGAAACATTTACGAAACATAAGTACTATTGCTTAAACCCTTAAATGTTATTATGATAACCGGTATTTGTGATGCATTTATTTATTGGTTCAATACATGACGATGATACAAATGTAAATCTATAAATAGATCCGTTTCTGCTCTATGCTATGGTAGAAGAATTAATACGATAATTTATAACGATAATAATAAGCGCGAGATAAAAAAATGACAATTCATATATCAGATGATTATTATTTAGGGATAACAGCAATAATTACACTTATATATCAATTAATCATTTTTCTTATTGCTTTTACCCTACAAACTGAAACTGGTATGAAAAAATTTTTTTTTCTTTTTTTTGCCTTTTAGAGGATTTTATTATTTTTTGACATTTATTTTTTTTTAAATAAATTGGGAAATCAATAGTTACGGATTTTGGAGGTCTGTCTAATTTAACTTAAATTTTTGAATTTCGATTTTCGATATTTTGATTTATAGTAGTTTATATAAATATAAAAAAATTATAGGTGGATCGAATGTTGCGCTATTGGCTATTTTGACCATAATTTTTAGTCAGGTAAGTTTTTAGGTGTATTATATCTTTTATATTTTGTTCTCGCATTTAATTAACATAATTTAATTGTATGTGCATATACAGTCAAATCATACACGCCAAATAATTGCTACATTATTTCAAATTGTATGGGGTCTTCGATTAGGGTGTAAGTTTTATATAATTTCATCACGTTCATCAAATAGTATTTAATAATTTTGTTTGTTATCACATCTTTTTAAAGTATTTTGTCTATATCGTATGCTAAAAACCGGTCATGGCGACTCTCGCTTCGATGAATTACGACAAAATTTTTCAAAGCTTCTTGTATTTTTTATTCTGCAAATGATCTGGATATGGACTATTAGTTTGCCAGTTACATTCTTGAATTCTCCAAAAATTAATGGAGGCTTGGATCAAAATTTCGGAAGTGTCACTGATGTTTTGGGTGTTATCTTGTTTATTTTTGGATTTCTTATAGAGTCTATTGCTGATCTTCAGAAGGTTATTTTTTATATACAAAATTATCCTGCTTTCAGAATTATGGCTAAATTAATACTTAACTGCTAATTCTGTAATTTATTATCAAAACAGTTTATATTTCGTACTAGACGAACTTCTTCGAAGGAATTCATGAAAACTGGTCTTTGGGCATGGAGTAGACATCCAAATTATTTTGGTGAAATTATGGTATTTATTTATATTTTAAAATTATCTTTATTTATTTACCTATTTAACACCAATTTAACACAATTTCATCTTTAATTTTTTGCAGCTTTGGTAAAATTATTTTTTCAAAGTTTTATTGCTGACTATATAATTCAAATGTTAATAAGTGATTTATAATAATAATAATTATTATTGTTATTATTGTTAAGGATTGGGATGTTTTTGTTATGCTTACAATCTAATATTAAAGACAATATCGCGTTGGTTTCTATACTTTCTCCATTATTCACAATTTGTAAGTATTTATTCTATTTTATTCCATTATTTTATTTTCGGCATATATATATTTAATTTTAATTTTTTTTTTCCACAAGTGATCTTACTATTCTTAAGTGGAATGCCTCTAAATGAACGACCAGCTCACTTAAAACAATATAAAGCTGGAAATTGGGTCGAATATTCTCAACATTTATCACGCACTAGTTGTTTAATTCCTTTTCCACCATCATTATATGAACCGTTACCACAATTTATAAAAAGCACTTTATTTTTGGAATTTCCAATTTATCGATTTAATCCAGATTCAGATATAAATAATGCTGAAGGTAATATTTAAATTTTGATTTTGTGGGTTACATAATTATTGTATATGTTCAATTATTTTTAATTTAATTAAACATAAAGCCGAATAAACGTTGATCGTTTGTTAAAAAAAATTTTTTTTTGGGGTCTTTTATCAATTACCTTATACGTATATAGGATTTAAAGATGAGTAAATGTAAATATATATACATCTATATCAAAATTTTTCAAATATCAACTATTTCTCTACACGACAAGATTCATTTATCAATAAGGAATAGGTATTTCTTTGTGAGTCGTAGTTCAATATTGTTTTGTTATATCCTCTGAATAACAAACTATAAAGTTATCAATTTTGTCACAATAGTAAACTGCAAACTACATTGGTTAGACAAAGAAAAAAACTTAATTTGGTATATAATTTCATATTCATATAATTGAACTTATATGTGATCAATAAAGTAAAAGTGCAATATTCGAGAAATATGTATATATAATCATTAAAATCAATGAAGGTATATAGGAAAAGGTATTTATCTTTGCTATCAATGATCTTATTATAATAATTATGCGCACAAATTCATAAGATTTATTTAAAATTATATTGGTATATATAACCTATAAAGTTTATTATAAGATAAATGAATGTAGTCAACTTGCAGGCTTACTAGAAAATATTTCGAAAGTTTTCATTAGTATCACCCAAAATAGAATTGATAAATGGAATGTCGGAAATATTTACCGAATAGTCGCGAATTGTGCGTTATTTCGGAAATCGCTTCTCCTTATAAATGCCATACTTTGTTCGAAATAACGCGCATACGCGTCCCGAAATAACGGCACCTTCTATAATATATTACCGGTAGTATATTTATAACATGCGTAATAACGCGCGTTATTTCGAAATCCTAACTTTCTAAAAATTGCCCATGCGCGTCCCGAAATAGCGCGTCCCGAAATAACGCGTTCCTTACCCTTTACTAAATGATTCGAATTACTGTATCGCGCATGCGCGTCCCGAAATAACGCGTCCCCTCCCTTTTACTAAATGATTCAAATTACTGTATCGCGCATGCGCGTTTCGAAATAACGCGCAGGTCTCAAAATAACGTGCACGTGCTCGAAATAACGCGCACCTGCGCATTATTACGCGAAAATACTGTACATGTATCGTGTTCAGAAAATTGTCCAAAATAACGCACATGAGGCGTCCTGAATTGACGCGTAGGGGTGCGTTATTTCGCGACGATACGGTGCTAAAAACATAATTCAGATAATACTGTGAAAAAAATTAGCAAGAAAATAATAAGTTATAGTTTCCTCTCCTAAAGTCTCTCACCCGCAACTATTGCAATTTTTATGTTTCCCTCGTTATAGTCACATCAAAATTTAATATTAGAGAAACAAATTGTTTGGTTTAATCGACCATCGTTATATTTTCTCAAAAGTCGCGAGTTTTTGGATACGGCTTTTATTCTTATGTAGTTTGTTTAAAAATAAATTTACAAGTTTAACTTATTAACGGTACAATCATCCTTCTATAATTAAATATTTCTGTCATTATTCATATGTTACAAATCAGACATGTTTATGTTCTTCAAATTGCTTATCACGTTAATGAACTGTTTGGAATTGTAAAAATTATTCACTTCTTCTTTTGAATATAAGTTCAATTGGAAGTGGTGACATAGTTCCACTATATGCCACGTCAATTTTTAACCCATCCTTATGTATGCTGTCTGGTGCTAACGAGATTTCGTATTTACGTACTGTAAAAAATATAATATGGATTAATTCAAATTTTATACTAAAATAATAGTTATAACTTACATAACAAGCATAGTACAATTCTTTGCTCAATAAGAGAAAAATTTTTTCCCAAACACCTATTCATTTAAAAAAACATAACGATAGGTTTTTATTATTTTATTTAATTTAATAGGTTATATTCATAAATCATACTTAGAAAATATATCAACTTACATTCGGTACCCATCACCAAAACCCAACCAGGAATTAACCTCTCCATTTTCATGTTGCTCATTTTCAAACCTCTCAGGCAAAAACTCTTCGGGATTCACCCAATTCTTAGGTGAATGGTGTATTCCGTATATAAATAATTCTATACATGTACCAGCCGGAATTACATGACCACGGCATTCTATTTCTTTTGTTGTTACACGTGCTGGCAAAACCGCGATCTAATTAATTAATTCAACCAGATTAAAAGAATATAAAAGAACATCGACTTATAAAAAGTGACTTATAAAAAGTTCCCTTTTAAATCATATGAAACATATATTAACTGGTGGATATAATCTAAGATTTTCATTAATAATCATATTTAAATATTTCAACGATTTGTGTTGCTCTAACGATGGTGTTAAATTATCTCCAAGTACTTTTAAGACCTCTTCTCGAGCTTTTCTTTGGACATTCTACATAAAATATAATTTAATATTAATCATTTTCTAGGTTTAAAATATTTACAGTATAAATAACAATATTTACTTTATGAATTGATAAAAGATATAAAACAGTTGCTAAAGAACTTGCGGCTAAATTAATAGAATTTTTATTAAAGATACAGAATTATCAAATTACATTCAATTCTATATATATATATATTATAGTGCAGTACTCACTTGTGTCATGACCCGCGAGCATAAAAACTCCCAAATTATGCTGCAAAAAAATTAGAATATTTTGTTACAAAAAAGTATTATTTTTTATTATTATACAAACTGTCAAACATACTCTTAATTCAATATTTGTTAATCTCTGATTCTCAGGATTTTCGCAGGCTTTCAACATGAGCTCTAAAAGATCACCTTGAATATTTTCAGTTCCATTAGCTAAGGTTTCACGTTTCTTTTCAACAATTTTATCAAATATATTATCTAATTTATCTACTTTTTCAAATCGTTTTTTATTTAGGAATGGAATACGATTAAGTATTGGAAGAAAAATAAAATACGGATTTGCTATGGCTTTTTGAACTTCATTATATGTTGTAACATAAATGTTGGTCGGATCTTCAAGATTCTAAATTTATTAATATGATAAATTTGATTAATTTAAAAAAAAAAAAAAACAAAACATTCAAAACCCTATGCATACTTACGTTAAAATCTAACCCAAAAGCAACTTTTCCAAGAACATCCAAAGAGACTCTACATTATATTTGTAAGTTTTGATTTTATAGTTCAATAAATATTTCATCATAAATATAAATCAATCAATTATTTATTTAACTTGTGCATAAGATCTCTAACTTCAATAGGTTTGTTGTCTATTTTCTCTAAAACATCCATCAATTTGAATCCAGTTTCATCAAAATACTGTATAGGTAAAGATTTGAATGCTGGGTTACATATAAGCCTAAGTCACGCGAATCAAATTAATAAAGTTGACAATAAAAAAATTGATAAATGTTTTAAGTTTGTATTAAATACCTGTGTCGCTTCCAAACCTAAAAGGTATCATGTCGAATATAAGGAAAATATTTAGAAAACGATAAATGAGTAAATAATTTTTTATACTCACGTCTCCTGACGAATGAACAACATTAATACCATAATACCGAGCAATCAAAGAGTTTGGAAATTGTTCTTCAAGCATTAATTTTGGAAAAATATCTATAGATTATTTGGATTATTTCAATAAATTTATAAATATAAATTGATCTGAAATAAAGTATATATAACTTTGTCACTCACCCGGATGTGACAATAAATCTTTTACAACTTTATTATCAACTACCATGCAAACACATTTTCCACCATACCAAAGCTGTTTTTAGATCCAATAGATGAATAAAAAAAAAACCATTATTGACGTCATATAAATATGAATATATTTTTACCTTTATAAATCCATCTCTTTCTAAATACTCTTTAACATGATGATATATCTGGTCTGGACCACTCCTTTTAATAATTAATCTAATCCTACTGAGGAATGTTAATGTATAAACATTTTTAAGGCTATCCGGAACTTTGTCATTTCGAAATTTATAGATGATAAACAGGATAATTATCGTTATTAAGAAGATCCAAAAGTTCATATCGATATTTTTTTTAAAAAATTTTTAATCCTAGTAATTCCAGTATTTAAAAATGTATTATCGTTATCTACAGATTTTACTTTTTATAGATTGATTTTCTTGCAGAATAATGTTTCACAAAATTCGACTTCTTTTGTAATACGCTTTGGCAAGTTTTAAAAATTTTAGTTTCTTGTAATTTCGTCTTTTTCTTTTTGTATAGAGTGATTTGATTGGCCGATAATATGTAACATTTTCTTTATATAATGTGGTGTGAATTCTTTAAACCTGAATACAATATTTAGCGTTAGTAAATATTTTTGTATTAATTTGACTCTATATATAATGAACTTCTTGTGACAACCTCTGAAAATAACAAAACTGTAGGTTTTATTAGATATAGGAAATGTAATAAAAGTTGACTATCTCACGCGTGTGTTTTAATTGTTCGTAACATAACTATCATATGATATTATTGAAACATGCTTTGAATTTTTATTTGGTTATTCTAAGACCCGCTTCGGTTTTTTTTAGAATACTTTTACTGTATATTTTTTTTTTTAAAAAAAAAAGATCACATAGATGAAGATATTTAGAATAGGGATGTTATTTTGCTTAAATAGTTAATTTGTGCTTTGAACTCTGTTTAAAGGCACGTGAATAAACGGAGTCAGACTATACTTAGGCGACTTGAAATTAAAACGTTATCCCCTCCAAAAAAATTAAAGTTAAAATTAATCATCAACTTCAACCTGATTTAGGTTCCGATGAGCCTAAAGTTGGTTCACTTGAACCTAATTTAATTTTATTGTTTATTTAATTTTTCCCCTCCCGAAATTCATAAAGTCCTTGAAATGATCTGATTTAAATCGTAATAAACTAAGTCCTGGACCTATATATTATTACGCTTGGTATTTTATCACGTGACCAATAATTTTGTTCTAAATTCGGCTGACAATTTAACATCTGAAAAGGCTATAAGCAGATTCATAAATATAATTAGATAAGTTACAAATAATAAAATACATTAAAAGAAACACATGCAATTCATTTTAATCCGCATGTTTAGTGGTGGATCTAAATTCTTCGTAAACTCGTTTTCGTTCATTCACCAGTTCAGGAAATAATGACAAGTTGCCGATCTGTAATCTATCACGGGATACAAACTTGTAGATTACACTTCCAGAGTTATCACCTTTATTTTGATGCTTTCATCTATATTATAGCTCTCCTTCTTAGGATTTCATCATTTAGTAGAGTTTCAGGAGTTTCGTGTTTCGTTAGAGGTCTCATTTTCCGCCAGGGGATCCGTCTTTCGCCAGGGGTTTCGTCGCTTAATAAATATACTTTACCGTATAGGTCTCTTTCTAATGCTTTGAAAACTCTCGATGAGGAGTATACAGTAAAGTAGTACGGTACTATAAGTTAGTACGGACATTACAGCTATTTTCATTATTCTTGGGACACCTGATTAAAAATTAGCAGAGTGATTAACTGGTCGATCCGATAAAGTTTTGATCTTGGCATTATTGGTATTTCATAGTAAACTACACAGCATTACATTGTCAACACTAAGTTTCATTTGAATGCCTGCCTCGTATGCTTTGTGTGTTTAGTTTGTATGAAAACTTCTTATGGCAAAGACTGTCCTTTATCAACCAATCGACAATAATAATAAGAAAAATTCAGAATATAGTATAAGATTGTACAAATAAGTGATAATAAAAAAAGTTAAAATAATGTAACTCGAATTGATAAGCCTTCCAGGTTTTGTTTCGACTGTTTTCTAAAGAAAGTAAATCATATTTAACAAAGATTATAATAGCATTAAAGATAAATAAAATATTGATAGACTTAATAATAATAATATAATCCCCATTATTAAGGTTTGCTATTACGTCACTACCAAATTTATACTGTATGACGTAAAAATTCGGATTAGTTAAGGTTAGGGTTCGAGCTAGTATTAGGGTTAGGGTTAGAGAGCATATATATATGCAAAATT